CCCCAAACTAATGGTAATACATGTATAAGTCTTCTCCTAACAGCCTCTTTTCCTCCTGGAGTAACTGCAATCCTTGGATACTGCTCATTCAATCCCTTTTTAAGCTCAACCCATACATGCTCAATAGGATTTAAATCAGTGGAATAAGGAGGGTGGTCCACAACCTCAATACTGTTTCTCTCCAACCAATCCATAATACTTTATGTCTTGTGAACAGGAGCATTATCTTACTGAAAAAGAACATCTTCAAGTTGTATACCAAAGGAAATTATTTGATGAATAATAGGAAAAGATATCTTCTCAAAAGTCTAATATACCTGGTCTTATTGATAGTTTGAGTAATAGAAACTAATGGACCTTTTCTTTAACCCCAAAAGCACCCCCAAACTATAAGCAAGATTCCCTTATCCTTCTCCTTTGGGTGTATACAATCAGCCAACCACTTCTCTGCAGGTTCTCTGAATACCCATTGTTACTTTGGATCCTTGAATTTCTCCACACTGCACTCATCACTCCAAATTACTCTTTCAAAATCCTCAGCTGTCCAGTTCCTATGAGCTGTAGCCTATCTCAATCTCTTAGCCATATGATCAGGCTTTAGCCTAGGTCTTGACTTAGCTATCCATTTTTTAATGTTTGCTTCTCTGAGTACCCAGTCCACTATGCAGGCAAATTTAGTAGGCAATCATATCCAGTCACTCTGGGTAGTATAAAGAGTTACCAGTATCAAGAGAAACACCAGGTACATAGCAATCCCTGAAGGCACATCTGGTTATTTTCCAGTTGGACTTGGCGGTCTATATAATTGTGTGACGCTGTTGACCACTCAAAATGGTGGTGCGACCGGGACGAGGTTGATTTTCAAGAGATTGACATTCACATATCCAAATAAGAAAGCTCTTAACTGTTGTCCATAGGCATCTAATAATTTGAGCCACCAAGGCAATGTTTCGAAGGTAGTAGAAAAAGGCGATTATTATACCCTTCTCTGTAAGGCTCATTTCTCTCTGGGTAGTTTTAGGTAGGGGTCTTTTTTTTATGGTATACTCCATATTTCCAGAATGCTTAACTATTGGTAAAAAAGGTAGAGGAAATTAATAAATTAATTAATTAGGTAAAGAAGGCTTCAGTGGGTGTAGATTTGTGAATGGTCACTATCGCGACAGGGTGAATGGTCACAATCAACTTTACACTTCGTTGAAAAATAGCATTTTGGCAAGGCAGCTTAGTCATCTGAGACCGGTTTCACAAATACTTTTGCCAAGTGACTGTAGTTTTGTTTTTTGTTTTATTTTAAGTATCATTTTCATACTTGGTTTGTTTTACTAAAGAGTATCACTTGATATCTTTAATTAGTTTTGTTCATACTAGATATGAACAGATTTGTGTATTTAAAGACCGCCTGATTCCACGATGGAAAAGGCAGACTTCAACAGACAGTATTTCAATATACTTGGTTGAATGGTTACTTCTTTGTATTTCAGTACACCTTCAAAATCTTCTTTAGTTCTTAGCTCTCATCTCCTCTCTAATAGAGTAGGCCACCTGTCAACTATCGTACCATTTACCGATAACGTGATTAGCACCTTGCGAACACGTTACAGATTAGGTTGTCAATAGTTTGTTGATAGTTAAGCTTAGATCTCTGGTCATTTGACAGACCAGCCATTAGGGCCAATAAAGTAAATTCTTGTACAGGGATATTGAGGACTGATAACATCTTTGTAGTATGGCTTGGTATTTTGTAGACACAACCATATGTAATAGGCAGGACAGGATGTATGTTGATTGGGAACCAAGGTATACCAGATGGAAATATAGTAAGCCAGTAAGGATCAGAGTTCACAGATTCAAGTCTTTACTGTTAAGAAAATATCTGTATTCTCAAGTACAGATGATGATAGAGAAATACCAAGTTGCCTCAAAAACATAAAGAAATAGGTAGTATGCCCCTTTATGTACAACTTAAGGAAGGCTTCTATTATTACCAATTTGCTACTTTTCTATTCTATTTCAGTAGATTCTACCATCTTCAGTCTAGCCTCTAGTGTGTTCTACTTTGTATAACCCTATATCCTTCATGTGAGCATATGTCTTTTTATTAACCTATATCCTCCTCCCAGTTCTTCTACAATATTGACAAGTAGGTGTCACATCACACCGTAGCCACATATTGTTAGGAGGAGGCTTGCAGCAAAGTATTTATGTAAAGTGTTCACAAAGTACTAATCACATTATCACTGAAAGGTATGATAGTTCAACTGGTTTGCCTACTCTACTAGAGAGGGGGCAAGAGCTGAGAACTAAAAAAGGCTTTGAAAGTGTACTGAGAAAACCAGGAGTAACTATTCAACTAAGTATATTGAAATACTGTCCGTTGAAGTCTGCCTCTTCTATTGTGGAATCAGGCGGTCTTTAAATATACAAATTTGTTTATATCTAGCATAAATGAAACTAATCAAATGTATTAAGCGATACACTTTGGTAAAACAACTTAAGTATCAAAATGATACTTAAAATAAAATATAAAACAAAACCAAGTATTAAAGCGATACTTACAATAAAACATAAAACAAAACCATTAACCAAGTACCTGTACCAGTTACAATTTGCATAAATAGATTGCAAAGGAGAGAGAGCATTTGGATGAGGAAATTACAGGAAAGAGATTGGAGTGGACTTTGGCTCATAGGGATTGGACTAGAGATGTGGAGAAAGAGAGTCCAGTGGAGGGATGAGGTTACTGTGGGAAGAGGTGGAGGTAAGAGGAAGAAATGGATATTTAGATATCCTGGAGAAAAATGGCATAAGGACTGCATTGATCCTACTGCTAGGGTTGGTGAGAGAAAGGTTAGTCAAATGATAACTAGTTGTTTTCATGGTCAGAAATATAGTCTCTTTCTTCCTGTTCTTCCTGATCCTAATTCTGCTAGATGGGTTACTGCAAAATCTATTATTCAAGTTTATGATCAATATGATTTCCTAGGTATATGGAAGGAAATGAAGGAGGAAATGGGAGAGGAAGAATTTTTTATTATTATTGACAATGCTAGAACCTATCTTCCCTTCATGAGATGGCTTAGGTCTAATGGTATTACTCTCAAAGAAATTTCCCCTTACTCACCAAATCTTAATCTCATTGAACATATTTGGTCTCTTATAAAAGCTATGCTTCATAAGTATTACCCCAAGCTTTATCTCATAAAGGGACCTAAGGATGGGATCAGGAAGGCTATTGAAGAGGCAGTTACTTTTTGTTGGAACTTTTGCACCACAAGGTCTTTGAGCTTAGCAGAATCTATGGTCCACAGGATTGAGGCAATTATTGAGGCAGATGGGTGGTATACAAAGTATTAATTAGGATTATGTATTTATTTTATTTCTAAATATTTTTTGTATTGTGGTTTTGGTAGTAATTTGTTGAGCAAGTGGTGTTGAGAAGGGAGTGCGCGCCGTTGCGTTGCAACGTTCGGTTTCTTCTGCTAAGGTGGCTTAATCGTGCGCTCGATACACATGAAAAAACCATCACCCGATAGCGAAAGCTTGCAGGAATTGTGTAGTGGTTTCCTAATATCGGGTAGTCACTAAACAAAGATAACATTGACAGATAGATGGGTCGTTTTCGCCTATAGAAATTAGAGAACGTAACCTCATGAAGGCTGCCAAGGCTACTTCTCGAGTAAGTTACTCGAGTACCGGCAGTAGTAGCAGTGCTCTAAACTCAACATCTCCTAGCCCAACTTAGAAGTGTCTGATGAGCACAACGAATTATGGACACCTGTCGAGAACTGATACCACATACCGGTAGAACTACGGGGTTTGCAGAGAAGGTCAAACATGTATATAAAATCTATCGTCGTGCTTCAGAGCAGTCGCAGGTGTAAGGATTATTGCTGCACCACACAAGCGATCTATACCCCAATCATGGACCGGTAGCCACAGGAAAAACCTCCTGAGAATTTCCCAAACCACCTAAGACCACTCAAGCATAGGGGAGAATCATGATAACAAATAGCGCTCATTAAGCCGGAAACTACCTCAATAAGAGTCTTAGTCGATCTATCACCCTGTCCTACGGCTTCGAAAAGTATGGGACTTCATGGAGTCGCCTCAAAACTGAATTAAATCTACCCTTCACAGGAATAATACCGGGGGATTTCTTCTGCTGTTACCTGTAGCCATTCAATTATTTTTTGATAATGTACTGTACAGTACAGTACTGTACAACGTCTTAACAGATTGATCGATCGCATCCGGGCGTCGGCACTGCTGCATGCCTTGGACTTCTTGCACCGCTCACACATCAGAGCAAGGCAGGGGGGGCTATCGGGAGAACATGCTAAGAACTACAAGCACAGTATCCTCATGATTTCTTTTTATGGGAGGCTCACATCACCTCTCAGCCTCGCCGTCAATCTTGATTCTTCTCCCTCATTCTCGCATCAATTACGCTCCCTACGAGAACCTTAGCACTCACTATCACCGGCGAAGCATCAGATTTTCATTATATCACACAGGTTTGACCCCCGCCATTAATAGATACCCCCCCCGTATCTGATATTGGCCGCCGCCGGTGGGTTGCAGCCAGACCTTCGGTTCAAGCGAAAGCTGCCGGGGGGAGCAAAGAGCAGCCGCTACACGGGAAGGGTCGAGAGAGCGAACAGCGCGGGGTTCAGGACAGACTAGGTGTCGGTTCAGAGTAAGTTCTGTCCTCGCAAAAGCAGCCGGAGTAGCCTTGGCTAGCAGTCTAAGGGGCAAGCCCCGGAACTAATTCTTTACTAAGGATTAGATATTTGGCGAAAATATCTTCCGGTCATACTCAAGGTCTATTTTAGCGAAATATATCAACCTCGAACCAGTGAATAGGCGAAGAAATTGGTTTTCGCGACGACAACCACGGATCCAACTCAAGCCAGGAGTTCTGTCTAAGCACAGCAATACGTTGGACTTGGACTCCGCACACCCGAAGAGTTCGGAGAATTTACAGTAGTCCAAAAATCATGTTTCAACGCGCATTAGCGGTCGGAAAGGAGATACTTGGGCTCGGCAATCAAGACACACTACTGAGAGTCAATAATTCAATTCAGCTAGGGCGGAAAAGGAAATGGAACGACGAAGCGGAGGTTGCGTACCGGCACGTATCGGCGGGCAGAGAGAAGACACGTGGTTCAGATCACGCAGATACCTTACGGAATGGTAAAAGTCTAAGTGTGGTACCGCATGACCAGGAAGAGCACGACGAAGCTGAGATTATGTATCGACGCGCACTGGTGGGTAGAGAGAAGATACTAGGTCCAGATCATTTAGACACCTTACGGGCTATATACAGCTTGGGCACAACGCTGCTCCGTCAAGGAAAGGACGGCGAGGCAGAGATTATGTATCGACGTGCATTGGCGGGAAGAGAGAAGACACTCGGGCGAGATCATCCAAGCACCTTATTGAACATCCATTTGTTAGGTGTAGCGCTGTACCGTCAGGGAAAGTTCGAGGAAGCAGAGATTATGCAGAGGCGGGCATTGGCAGGCAGAGAGGAGGCATTTGGTCCAGATCATCCAGATACCTTAAGCACTATAAGCAGCCTGGGTAGAGTACTGGGCGGTCAGGGAAAGTACGAGGAGGCAGAGATTATGCATCGACGGGTGTTGGCAGTCAAAAAGAAGACACTTGGTCCAGATCACCTAGATACCTTATGGAGTATGGATATGCTAGGTGACGCTCTGCATGGCCAGGAAAGGTACGATGAAGCGGAGATTATGCATAGACATGTATTGGCGGTCAGAGAGAAGGCACTCGGTCTAGATCATCCAGATACCTTATTGAGTGTGGTTAGTGTAGCTGAAATGCTGCGTGGTCAGGAAAAGTACAACGAAGCGGAAGTTATGCATAGGCGTGTGCTAGCGGCCAGAGAGGAGATACTTGGGCCAGATCATCCAGATACCTTATGGAGTGCGAATAATCTAGATTTTGCGCTGCGTAACCAGGGAAAGTATGACGAAGCGGAGGTTATTTGTCGTCGTGCATTGGCGAGTAGAGAGAAGACACTTGGGCCGGATCATCCAGAGACCCTCCAGAGTGTTTGCGATTTAGCTGAGCTTCTGGAGGATAAGAAGGGCGACGCCAGAGCAGATATTATGGAGCACCATACTGCAGACGGGAGGGAGGAGCCACTTCGGCTAGATGATTCCGATACCCCGCCGAGTTTTGTTACCACGAGTGACAAGCCCCACACCGGTAATCGGAAAGAGAAAGAGAAAGCCGATGCGAAGCATCGACGCCGAGCGGCGAGCTGTAGAATAGCACTTGAACCACATTATTCAGACATACTACCCAGTGCCGATAGCCCCACTATGACTCTAGTTAATCAGAGAAAGTACGAAGCGGGGGCGACTTACAGGCACGCTTCGGGAGATACATGGAAGGCCCTGGGACCCGATCATCCGTTTTCTCTCGAGAGTATGAATGCGGTTGGAGAAACATTACTTGATCTGAGAAAGTACAACGAAGCAGAGATTATCTTCCGACTTACATTGCTTGGTAGAGAAAAGGCTCTCGGAGCAAACCATCCAGCTACCCTTACCAGCACCGATAACCTTGGTCGGACGCTACATTACCAGGGAAACTACAAAGAAGCGGAGACGATGTTTCGATCTGCACACCTGCGCAGAGAGAAGGCATTTGGGCCGTATGATCTAGATACCATACTGAGTGCCCACGGCCTAGCTGTGACTCTATCTGATCAGCAAAATTATAAGGAAGCGGAGGTTATGTATCGGCATGCCTTAGGGGGTATGGAGAAGTCTCTGGGGCTAGATCATCCGTTTACCCTTGAGAGCATAAGTACGCTAGGTGAAACACTGCTTGATTTGAAAAAATACGACGAAGCCGAGGACATGTTCCGGCGTGCGGTAGCAGACAGAGAAAAGGCACTTGGACTAGCTCACCGGGATACCTTACTCACTGTCAATAATCTCGGGGTGGCATTGTGCAATCAGAGAAAGCACCACGAAGCGGAGGTTATGTACCGACGTGCGTTAGCGGGTGCCGAGGAGACGCTTGGACCAGACCATCGAGATACCCTAATGTGCGCCTATAACTTAGCTCGGGCTCTGCACAAACAGAGAAAGTATCACGAAGCGGAGATGATGCACCGCCATGCACTGGCAGGGAGAGAGCGGGTTCTGGGACCGGGTCATGCGTATACTCTCCGGAGCACCATCAATCTCGGCGCGGTACTCTGTGATCAGAGAGAATATGATACGGCGGAGATTATGTATCGACGTGCAGTTACGGAGGGAGAAAAGGCGCTAGGGCCAAGTCATTGGATGACTCTGAAAAGTGCCAACTGCCTAGCGGTGTTTCTCCAGGCCCGGGAACCAAGAGCATTGGACTAGGGTCGTGACTGAGATGAAGAGTTTGTCCGAGCGAGGAGGGGGACTGAAGTTACTCCTGTTGTTTTTTTATCCATCATTACTTTTTTTTTTAAGAAATTTTCAGTCGCGATTGGGTATGAGATGTTTTTTCCACCCGATGCAGTTAGGTATAGGGTGTTTGTGTTGGTTTTGTTTCCTCCCCAAAATCGCTACCATTGGGTGTCGGGGGATTTGGTTGATTTTATCGTTTGTTTTCGTGTTAAGCATGCAGCATTAAGCACTGAGCTCGGTTTTCCCGTTTGCCTTCCCGTCACGGCTAGAGTGTCCTTCTGTATCCTATCCCTCATTCACTCTTGCGGGGTTTTGTTTGGCTTCCAGTGTTACTAGTTATTTTGGGATATATATACTTCTTAGGTCTATCTTTCTTAGCATTTTATCGATTGTCTAGCCTCTGATTGTTCCACGTCCTGTCTAAGTTGTGCTTGGCCAACGGTGATCTCCCCCTCATTGCTCCATCCTTCGGTTGCCTTTTCGCTACGCTATGAGAGTCTCTTTGCTAGTTATCAACCCGGGGTACCGGTGGGAGTGTCGTGTCGAGAACCCTTCTTATTTAGCCCCTCCAGACCTGGAGGCATCCTCATGGAGTATCTCGTGTTTTTTCTCCCAGTGCCTTCAGATGCCAACCTGTTGGGAAACCATGATACAACTTGGGAGGTTTTTGCGGCTGCTGTGACATTATATAGACCGTAATTTAGCTCATTTCCCTGAACGAAGAGAAGGGCACACATTACTTTTGCGCACTGACAGTAAAAGCCGTCGAAACTACCCTAGCCTAGAGCAGTGTTCCCAACCGCCCGGGGTGACTGCCAAGAGCCCTGGATGGGGCGGGGCGTCTATCTGTAGTCCGTCCAGGACAGTCAAAGTGCAGGACGGCAGTCCCTGGGCGGGACGGCGGGCCCTATAGGGTGAGACATTTTAGTTCAGGACAAGGGGTGGACGACGGGGGGCGATGCGAGTGATGTTTCATGAGGTGATAGTAAATCATTCCCGGGCGTGACCCCAACCCCGCTAGCACCGGAGGTCTAAGCGCTAAGGCTATTGTCCCCTACAGTCCGTCCGGTCCTCATATTCCCGGGCGTAGTCCGTCCCGTCCGACCCCGAAGACAGACAGACTGGACGGCTGGGAACCCTGACCGTCCCGGGTAGGGTGGGTGGAGCAATATAGTGGGTCATCCAGATTCGCAGATCTCGAGTTCAACGTCAAGGATCTTGTTCATAACAAGAATCTGTTTGCACTCCTTGACAACTGCCAGTGTTCCCAACCGTCCTGGGCGTCCAGGGAAAGCACAACGAAGTGGAGATTATGTATCGACGTACATTAGCGGGCAGAGAGAAGACACTTGGTCCAGATCATCCAGATACCTTATTGAGCATAAACTCAAATAATAAGGCTATGATAGGTAGAGAGTATCTGCGATTCTTGTTCTTTCTATGCTGCCGGAGGTGTCCTATATATACACGAACTGTTCCTTTTGCAATCATCTTCCTTGTCCATCAATCGCGCAGAATTTCATACTGCATTCCCACCATGATGCCAGACTGTTCCTTTCGCTCGACTCCTTCAAACATCCCCCAAAACAATTCCCCTAAACTATAGCTGTTCCAGACAGTCCTGATACCCCCGTGCTTCTTCTCCGGTTTCCTAATTCTTCTAGTGTGACACCTGATTGTATTCAAGACCACCGGAGTGTACCTGTTACTTTCGGTATCCCTAGTGCTAATTCCTGAAACCTTCCAAACACTTCTCCTTGCACTTAATCACTAGTTCTCGCACACCCTTACTCACACGCTGACCCTTTCCTTTGCTTGTTCCACCATTGCATTTCCAAACCATACAGCCTTCACCTCATCCTCCAAACTGTGGAAACTTCTTAATTTTCAACATAAAAAACCTAGGAGCGGCGCTGTATAACCAGGGAAAGCACGATGAAGCGGAGATTGTGTATCGGCGCGCATTGACGATTAGAGAGAAGACGCTTGGTCCAGATCACCCAGATACCTTACGGAGTATGAACAACCTAGGAGCGGCGCTGTGTAAGCAGGGAAAGCACGATGAATCAGAGATTTTATATCGAGGCGCATTGGCGGGTAGAGAGAAGATACTTGGTCCAGGCCATCTAGATACCTTATTGAGTGTGAACAATCTAGGAGCGGTGCTGCACAAACTTGGAAGGCAAGACGAAGCGGAGGTTATGTTTCGACGTGCATTGGCGGGAAGAGATAAGACACTTGGTCCTGATCATCCACATACCTTATTAAGTATAAACGACTTAAGTACGGCGCTGTGAGAACTTGGAAAACACGACGAAGCGGCAACTATGCACCGCCATGCATTAGCGGTCAGAGAGAAGGCACTTGGTGTGGGTTATCTAAATACCTTGCGGTGAGCTGATAATTTATCTCCCTCGTCGGAGAATGGGAAAGATGGCCGCGCGGCTGAAATCGTGCAATACCAGATTGGAGAAGGGAGAGCGGAGTCCCTTCTGACAGATGATTTCAATAATCGTCCGGAGTTCCCGCCACAGTTGTGAAAAGACTTTGCCACGCAAATAACGCGAATGCGGACATGAAACGCGAATGCTGGCCCCTGGGCAGAGTGATGGCAATTGAGTCACATCATCCAGATATCCCATTGAGCGCCGATAACCCATCTGTGACTCTACTTGACCACAAAAAGTATGAAGAACTGGAGATCATGTATCGGCATGCTTTAGGGGTCATGGAGAAGGTTCTGGGGCCCGGACATCCATTCACTCTCGCGAGCATGAATACCCTAGGTGAAACGTTGCTTGGCCAGAGAAAGTATGGCGAAGCGGAGGTTGTCTTTAGACCCACATTGGTTGGTCGAGAGAAAGCTCTCGGAGTCAATCATTCAGATACCCTTACAAGTATCGATAATCTCGGCCGAACACTGCATCACCAGAGAAAGTACAAAGAAGCGGAAATGATGTTTCGATCTGCACTCGGGTAGAGAGAAGGCGCTTGGGCCATATGACTTAGATACCATCCTGAGTGTCCATGGCCTGGCTGTGACGCTCCTCGATCAGAAAAGTTATTGTGAAGCGGAGATTATGTAACCTCAAGCCTTAGTCGGTATGGAGAAGGTTTTGGGACCCGACCACCCGTTTACTTCGATAGCATAAGTACGCTAAGCGAAACGTTACTTGATCTGAAAAGCACGGCGAAGCCGAAGTTATGTGCTGAGGCGCACTGGCAGGCCTAGAGAAGACGCTTGGACCAGCTCACCGAGATACTTTACTCGCTGTCAATAATCTCGGGGTGGCATTGTGCAATCAGAGAAAGTACCATGAAGCGGAGGTTATGTACCGACATGCATTAGTCGGTGCGGAGAAGACACTTGGACTAGAACATCGTGATACCCTAATGTGCATCTATAACCTTGCTCGCACTTTTCACAAACAGAGCAAGTATCACGAAGCCGAGATGGTGCATTGGCGTGCGCTGGCTGAGCAAGAGAGGACTCTGGGGCCGGGTCATACTCAAACCCTCTGGAGCACTATCAATCTTGGTTCAATACCATATGATCGAAGAAAATATGACATCATAGCGGAGATTATGTATCGACGCGCAGTTACGGAAGGAGAGAAAGCCTAGGTCCCAGCCACCAGACTACTCTGAAAAGCGCAAACTCCCTGGAAATACTTCTGCGGGCCCGCGAACCATGAGCTTCGGGCCAGGTGTCGTGACGTGAAGGGGGTCCGAGGTCATTTTGGATGCATTTTTTTCTCTATACACATCATTACTTTCTTTTTTTAGAATTCTGCAGTTGCTACAGGCCATGAAGTGTTTTTTCCATACCCTATGCCATTGGGCATAGGGTATCGCTGCTCGTTTCGTTTTTCTCCATTAAATCGGTATCATTTGGTATAATACCAGGAGCTTTGCATCAGCTTTTATTTATTGCTTTCACCCGTCTTACCCCATTCCGTATGGAGGAAATCGAGATCTTATGCATTATCCCTAAGAGATACCACTGAGGTTGCTCGGTGGTGTGATGCTTTTCGTGTTACAATCTCTCTGTCCAGTCCTTGTTTATAATGTGCATATTATTGCTCGTTACTAGAAAGGCACTGCGACACTATGCTCCCCAACATGCTGCAACACTATTGGCATTTCAATATTTTCTTATCAAACTCTAAGCTGGAAAGATGAGTGGCGTGGTGGGTGCTGTCAAGATTATATATATCCAGTTCCGGAGAGAGTAACGAAGCGGATCACTGAGTAGTATTTATGTCTCGTTGGAAGATGAATAGACAAGGAGGAAGTGATACCCGGGCTGGGAGTAGAAGGCTTTGCTCCTGAAAAAAAGAAAATCCTTAATTCCACACCAGAAATTATAGGGGTGTATTTCGATTTGCCTTCGCTACAGGGTTCTAAGGGGAGGATGAAGATACAGTGATACGACAGCTTATATCCAGCGAGGTATACGATGTACTGCAGCCTTAACGCCATTTCACTAATCTCTGGTTCAAGTTAAATCTATTGAGTAATTACGCACCACATAGCTCACGCGCTAAACTAATAAACTCCTCTCTCTTCGATTGCACCGCCAGAAGAAGGACAGAATGGAAGGTAGCGAGAGAGAGAAAAAAAAGGAAGGAGCGAAAAAATAAATCCACGGATATCTTTGATTTTGTTTAACGTACAAGAATTCCAACTCCAGAATCTCCGCATTTCCAGGATCTGGGTGTTGTGAAACCAAAATTCCTAAACCGGATACAAATAAGGCAAACCGTTTGCATCTCCTCCCAGGCCTCGAGTCGCCTACGCTGTTAGGAGTTAGGAGTGCACTGTGTTATGCCATGCCGTACTCTGTGCTTTCACATATGAGTGGAAGGAGTACTGGCCGGTCAAGATTGATCACGGCATCATAGTAAATCACTCGCCACTTGTGTAGAGATGTACTGAGTGCTGTTCAGGAGGGAGATGGCGATCGTGCGGAGAATGGGGGTAGCGATCGGATCCGAGGTTTTACACTGTGAAGGGAATAGCTTGAGGAGAAGAGAATAAAGTGATTCGAGTGAAGGTAGAGGTGTTCGCTCAATTGGTCCGATGAAAGCTTAAGGGAGGAGAAAGGAAATGCGAAATAAAGGAAGCCAAGAAGTTCAATTAATTCAGGTCCTATGGGAGCCTATTAGAAACAAAGGCTAAGAGCTATCGCCTGATTGGTTTGGTGGAGTCACGTTACGTTTCAGCCTCACCCAGGCGTGTGGGACAAGGCCGGTGTTCATCCTTCTCAACCATTTTCAGACCCACTGAACTCCACGAGAATTCTAACACCTGCTATTATGCGTGAGGCATCACGGGTTTTTGTTACAAGACACCACCGGTTTGACCCTCGCCGTCAATAATTTACGTACCCCGCTCATATCCAATGTTGCGTGCTAGTGCGTTGCCACCCAATTAGGCCTTTGGTTAAGCGAAAGGTACTCGTTGCAAAGCGCGTGCCAGGGAAACCAGGGAGCGGAGCAGGTGTGATCCTCTCAAAAACAGATGTAGTAGTCTCGGGTCCGGAACTAGCAGTCTAAGGAGCAAAACTAAGGGCTTTTCTGAGGGTTTGAGCTTTGGCGAGAATATATTCTAATCGTGCTTGTGGCCTATTATAACGAAACAAATCAAGCGTGAGCCTAGGAAAGTGATTCCCAGGACGACGAATACGCTGGCCAGGATTTTGGAGCACGCACACCAAGAGCGGACAATCTTGGACCACAACATCCGCACCCCCAAATAGATCAGTGAATTTACAATAATTCAAAATTATTTTCTAAGCACGTGTTGGCTCCGGCAGTCAAAAGCAAGATACTTAGGCTGAGTGATCAACATATCCTACGAGGTTTTAGTGGTTTAGATGTGATGTTTCCTGCCCGGCAAAAGTACAGCGAAGCGGAGATTTTGTAGCAGCGAACATTAGCGGGCAAGGAGAAGACTGTTATTTTACAGGCCGAAGGAAGGGAGAAATATTGTATATAGAAAGGGAAGATAGTTAAAGTTCAATTGGGCAATTCAGTTGAGCAAAGAAGAGACGTTCAAATTCGCATATGGATTTCTAACTAGACAAGCAAACGTTTTATGAGAAGTCCTGCTTCCATCAATACTGTACCAGTGTGGGTGAAAACTTTCATCCCACTAAGCGTAGAGAAAATTTGCTCTCACTAAGAGAGAGCGAAGGTTTCAGCTGCAAGGAAGGAGAGGACAGTTTCAACAAGGGTAAGGAGAGTACAGTAGTGAGTTTCAAGAAAGATCAGACAACTTTGAAGAGCGGAAAAGGTACAAGGAAATCAAAAACGAAGGGGACACATATTCCAACAAAGACACTTGGGAGGGACCATCCCGATACCTGACTAAGTATCCGCAGTTTGGCCTGGGCGTTGCGTGGCCAGAAAAAGTGCGCCGGAGCAGAGGATATATGTCGACGTACACTAGCGGGTGCAGAGAAAGCACTTGGACCGGATCACCCCGATACTTTGTGGAACATGAACAACCTTAGCGTGGTGCTGTACAGTCAGGGAAAGCATTACAAAGCTGAGATTATATATCGACACGCATTGGACAGATCTAGTTACCCTACAGAGTGTGGATGATTTAGCTCTTTTGTTGTGGAATCGGGAAAATAGTGACGGAGCAAAACTTATGCACTTCCTGACTGCGGAAGGGAGGGATGAGTCGCTCTGACCAGAAGAGCCCGGTACCCAGCAGAGTTTTGCCGCCATCGGTAAGAAACGACATAGCCAGGAAGGAAAGAAAAAACGGATACAAAACAGCGACGCGGACCAGTGGATAGAGGGATGGCAGTTGGGCCAGATCACCCGGACATCTTGGTGAGTACCGACAGCCTAGCTGTGGCTCTGCTTGACAAGAAAACGTATGAAGAAGCGGAGATCTTGTATCGGTACGCATTTGTGGGTATAGGCAAGGTTCTGGGGCCCGATCATCCGCTTACCCTTGAGAGCATAAATGCCCTAGGTGAAACATTGCTGGATCTAAGAAAGTATGATATGACGAGGCAGAAGTTGTTTTCCGTCTTGTATTGGCTCGTGGGTAGGAAGCTCTCGGGGCAGGTCATGCAAATACCCTTACCAGCACCGATAATCTTGGTCGAACGCTATGTCACAAGAGAAAGGACAAAGAAGTGGAAATAGTGTTTCGCGCTGCATAGGCAGGACGGGACTGGACCCTTGGGCCATATGATCTGGATACTATACTGAGAGCCCGTGGCCTAGCTGTGACGCTATCTGATCAGAACGATTATAAAGAAGCAGAGATCATGTATCGACATGCCTTTCGGGGTGTGAAAAAGACGCTGGGTCCCAAGCACCCGTCAACCCTCAAGAGCATTAATATTCTAGGTGAAGCATTTCTCAATCTGAAAAAGTATGCAGAAGCCGAGGCTATGTGCCGGCGTGCACTCGTAGGCAGAGGGGGGACAAAGTACCCGCTGCCTACATTAGGTATCACAAAGAAACTCTGGTATCATAGCAAAAGAGACAACCAAAGGATGAAGATGCAAAGGAGAGATCACCGTGGGCCAAGCACAGCTTAGGCTGGACATAAAACAATGGTGAGCTAGACATTTGATAAAATGTTAGGAAAGGGTAGATGCAGGGGCAGTGTTCCCAAACGTCCAGTACGTCCGTCCTTGGCTTCGGACGGGACGGACGCCAGCTCCCGGAACCCTGCCCTGGACGGACGCCCGTCGAGGGGTCCGTCCTAAGCTCTGCCCGGGACGCCTGGCCGGGCCCTGCAGGTATCTCGCTTATATGATTTATTCCGAATATGGTAAGCTTTCAATAATAAGATTTACGGATCCTTTTTGCTACCATGCAAGTAATGTGGTAACCATTCGGACAAATTTGTCAAAAGAAAAGGGAGAGCTTGGAATAGGATGATTCTGGTACATTAGGTTACTTAGATTCTTTCGTAAAATCTACGATTATTTATTCATCGTTTCTGTGTTGAAACCAAAACATTCTGCTCATTCCTTTGTAAATACATCTCCAGTGTGAAACAACCGCTAATATTACGAGATAACCATCAATTAGGGAATAGTGTGCGAAATACCGAAGGGACTCCATGGAGGACCCACAACCCGGCAGTCGACCATGGGGCCCTGCGAGTAGCGACCGTGCCCTACAGATGACAGCCAGGCCCTGCAGATGATCGCCACCCCCCACGGACGACAGCCGAGCCCTGCGGTTGAAGGTCAGGCCCCGTAGATGACGCCTTCAGATGACGGCCAGAAGATCCCATTTAGACTAAGTCTGCCCAGCCCGAGCGTCACCGCCCAGGACAGCGGTCTTCAGGAAGGAGGGACGCCGTGCCCTGCCGTCCTTACCCATCTTGCCCGGGACGGACGGGACGGTTGGGAACACTGTGCAGGGGGGTATACATATCTCCTGAAGAGCTAGAGACACTGGATACTGAACGTGTTGGAATATGTGTCCCCTTCGTTTTTGATTTCCTTGTACCTTTTCCGCTCTTCAAAGTTGTCTGATCTTTCTTGAAACTCACTACTGTACTCTCCTTACTCTTGTTGAAACTGTCCTCTCCTTGCAGCTGAAACCTTCGCTCTCTCTTAGTGAGAGCAAATTTTCTCTACGCTTAGTGGGGTGAAAGTTTTCATCCACACTGGTACAGTATTGATGGAAGCAGGACTTCTCATAAAACGTTTGCTTGTCTAGTTAGAAATCAATATGCGAATTTGAATGTCTCTTCTTTGCTCAACTGAATTGCCCAATTGAACTTTAACTATCTTCCCTTTCTATATACAATATTTCTCCTTTCCTCCAGCCTGTAAAATAACAGGTTATGAGCCTGGATTGATGCTTTCCAAGCCGATATCCATTTCCGATCCAAACCACAACTCCTCCAACAAGGTCACCATGTCCCAAGACCCAAGTGATAATGCCTATATGAACAAGTTGTTCCACTGTCCTCTAATAACTGAAAAGAATTACCCCAGCTGAGAATGTAGCATCAAAATGTGCTTGATAGCCGAGAATTGCGGAGAGATTGTTATGGGTGAAGAGGAAGCCCCAGATCCCCCTGTCCTAGCTGAGGGCACCTCTAAAGCTATCGAATCTGCCCATACAGTAGCTATGAAGGAGTTCAAAACTGAAGCAATTGACTTCACCAAACCAGCTGGAAAGGCCGCCTCTATTATGAACTCTACCCTCTCCTCCAGTGTTGAGTTTTATGTTGAAGATACTATTAAACATTGTGAGATGTGGGTAATTCTTAGGAACAGGCTTACCTTGGTCGACAATTGGGGCCTCCAGTACATGCTCAAAAGAGATTTTTATAAGATGTTGTACGATGGCAAGGAATCCATAATCACATACATAAATCGTCTCTGCATCTTTCAATACCAGCTCCAAGGAACGAATAACGAAATATTAAAAGATGAGCTTGTTAACTGAATCCTGACTTCACTTCCTCCTAGCTGGAAACAAAGAATTATTACCCTAAATAATAGAGGGGACCTTACCTTTGATGACCTGAAATGAGCCCTCTGCGGTCACCAGGCCAAGATAGCCAACATACTTACCCAAGCCACAAAAGTGTTTGCGATTGCAAAGTATGGACAAAGAGGCAGAGGAGGTAAACTAAGAGGAAGAGGTAGTGGTAGTCATCAGAATGATTGCAGAGGTTTGACTCGCAGTACTAGGTCATGCTGGTATTGCCCCAAGGCAGGACTTTTATCGAATAACTGTTCTGTAAAAAAGAAGGAGGAAGAGGAAAGAAGAGAACGAATGAAATGACAACTAATGAAGAGATCGGATACCAATCAGAGTAGCACCAATATCACCCTTGCTAATGCTCATGCTCTTATGATAAAATGAGAATCAGTTAAGTATTCCCTAAGTGACTTGTTCATCAACTCTGGGACTACTGATTATATAAGTTATGAATATGGTGACTTCTTTGCTCCCAAGCGATTATTGCCTCCAACTAGGGTTGTGCTGGGCAATGACATTGTGGCCTATGCCTATGGTGTGGGCTTAGTATATCTCAGCCTGCAAATTCTTCTTAACCAAGTACTTTTTGTTCCCGACCTGGAAACTAATCTCATTTCCGTTAGCACAGTAATAAGACTTGAGTGTCAGGTAATTTTTGACAAGTCTGGTTACCGAATCATGAAAGATGAGCTTAGCAAGGTAGCTGCAAGTGGTTATCCTAATCTAGATTCAAATACATATCATCAGGCAAAAGTAAGCAACAAAATCAATAGCGTCATTCCTACTACTATAGCACCCAATTCACCGGTGTAAAGTATCAAACTTTGGTATGAACAATTAGGCCATCTAAACCTTCCAGCTGTAAGACAACTCGAGTCTTTGGCCACCTGAGTCAAAATTCACCAATCTATTATCCCACTGGCCATATGCCCAGCCTGCCTCAAGGGGAAACAGCAGTGATCCTTCAACCAACTCGGAAAGAATATATCCTCCCAAACCCTGTAGAAACTTACCTTAGTCTACTCCGACTCCTATGGGCCTCTTCCAGTTCCCTCAATCATGGGCGTAAGATACTTTATACTTTATGTGGATGACTTTACTAGAATGGTCTGGTACTACTTCTTAAAGCAGAAGTCTGCACAGGAGGTGTTGGATATATTCAAAGAGTTCAAAGTACCAGTTGAAGGACACTCAGAGAAGTCAATCCTCTGGTTTCACTGTGATAATGTTCATGGCACATATGATAATCACTTATTTCAAGTATATCTCGCCTCTGAAGGTATAATCTATGAATGTTCGGCACTCTACACTCAGTACCAGAATGGGATCAGTCAAAGGATGGTTCACACTATCATAGAACATGTACAGGCAATCCTGCTTGAATTACAACTGAAAGATTCTTTTTGGGCAGAAGCTGTCAACTCTTCAGTCTACCTACACAATTATAGTCCAACATGCACATTGGGAGGAGGAATACTTTACAAAGCCTAGCATAGAATGAAACCTGCCTTAGAACACTTATGGCGCTTTGGTTGTGAGGCCTACATCTATGTTCCTGCAGAGTACAGAAAGAAGCTTGATGCTAAGTCAAGACGATGCATACATCTAGGTTATGTCTATAATATTATGAAGCTTTGGCATGATTAGGATATTGCAAGTAGGTGAAAGGTGAAAACTAAAGAAGGCTTTGAGGGTATACTAAGAAAACAGAGAAATAACCATTCAACTAAGTATATTGAAATACTATCTGTCAAAGTCTGCCTTTTCCATCGTGGAATCAGGAGATCTTTAAATACACAAATTTATTCACGTCTAGCATGAATGTAACATGTTCGCAAGGCGCTAATCACGTTATCCGTAATAGATATGATAGTTGGCAGGTGGCCTGCTCTTCCAGAGAGAAGGTGAAAGCTGAGAACCAAAGGAGGCTTCGAGGGTGTACTGAGGAACAAAGAAGTAACCGTTCAACCAAGTATATTGAAATACTGTCTGTCGAAGTCTGCCTTTTCTATTGTAGAAACAGGCAGTCTTTAAATACACAATCCTGTTCATGTCTGGCATGAACAAAACTAATCAAAGGTATCAATCGATACACTTTGGTAAAACTAATAAAGTATCAAAGTGAT